TAAATTGAATTTAAACTTAGAAGAGCGTCTGTGTCAAATCTGAAGACAAATTTTGAAGACCTTGAGTTTAGAGTTATTCAAATACCCAATATCTTTGAAAAAGACCCCATGGTAAAACTTGCATCATACAGAGCAAGACCAACCAGAGCTCCTCTGGTCCTTAAGAACCAGAGCCCCTCTGGACTCACCAACCAAAATCAAGGTCAACCCAAAAACAAGGCCAACCAAAGGCCCTTTGGTCAACCAGAGGCTCTCGTTCGTCTATCCAGAACCTCTGGGGTCAAGAAAATGTTAAATACTTAAAGAATTTGAGTTCCATTTACAACCGGAGACAGAGACCCTCTAGTTAAACATGAAGATCAACCAGAGCCCCTCTAGTTCCTTTATGATGGATTATAATATTTTTTCAAGGTTCAAATAAACAACCAGAAGCAAAGTTATCCAAAAGCCAAACTAACCAGAGGGGCTCTGGCTTACAAGACTAAATCTAAGTCTTAAAGACTTATCTTCAAAGTCTAGCAAGACTTGTACTCTTGAAATTACTCTGAAGTAAAACTCTTCAGACTTAAGAGCTCTATATAGGCAAGTCAGAAGCTCTGCATGCACTATGTAGAGGCTCTACATGGTGCTCCATCTGGAAAAGAAGACTTCAGAGTTCCGGTGAGCTAACTCTGAAGAATGACTCTTCAGATTTGTACTCTTGAAATAACTCTGAAGAATGAATCTTCAGACTTATATTCTTGAAATAACTCTGAAGTATAAAATCAGTCCCACTAAATCAAAGTTCATACTTCTAAGTCTGAAAGAAAAGACTTCAGAGTTCGGGTGAGCTAAGTCTGAAAAAGAAGACTTTAGAATTGGGGTGAGTTAACTCTGAAGAATGACTCTTCAGACTTGTACTCTTCAGAATTGTACTCTTCAGACTTGTAGAAGACATTAAAGTTCAAACTTCTAAGTCTGAAAAAGAAGACTTCAGACTTCTTTTTCTAAGTCTAAAAGAAGACTTCAGAGTTCAGACTTCTAAGTCTAGGAAATAACTCTGAAGTGTAATTTTGAGTTGTCTTATAATCTGGAAAATAACTCTGAGAATAACTTTGTGGCACAAGAGTTCAGAGTTGTCGTCTATGTCTAGGAAATAACTCTGAAGAATACTTCACATAGTACAGACTTCACAGTTTAGACTTCTTAATTGGAATTTCTTCATTCAGACTTAGAAGCTTGAATAAGAATTCAGAGTTAAATGACTAAGTCTGAACAAAAAGGCTTCACAGTGCAAACCTCTAAGTTTGGAAAAGATTGAACCAGAGTTTATGTCTAAGTCTGAACAAAAAGGCTTCACAGTTCAGACCTCTAAGTCTGGAAAAGAATGAACCAAACTTTATGCATATAAGTCTGAACAAAAAGTTTGAAGTCTATCTCTATGTCTGGAAAAAAAAGGAACCAGTCTATGCCTTTAAGTCTGAAGATGACTTCAGAGTCATCTCTAACTCTAGAAAAAATACTTACAGTCCAGGTTCTTTGTTTACCTTATCATAATTACTTATACTTTTAAGTCTGAAAAGGAACGAACCAGAGTCTATGCCTCTAAGTCTGAAGAAGACTTCAGAGTGATCTTTAACTCTAGAAAAAATACTTCAGAGTTTAGGCTATTTGTTTACCTTTTCATAATTAGTTATTTTGTAACTCTGGCAAAGAAGACTTCAGAGTTCACTCTTCTAAGTCTGGAAAAGAAGGAACCATAGTTTATGCCTCAAAGTCTGAACAAAAAGGGTTCAGAGTTCAAACTTCTAAGTCTGGAAAAGAATGAACAAGAGTTTGTCTCTAAGTCTGAACAAAAAGGGTTCAGATTTTATGCATATAAGTCTAAATGAAAATTCTGAAGTCTACAGACTTATCAGTCTGAAAAACAAGGAACCATAGTCTGTCTCTAAGTATGGAAAAGAAGGGACCAATCTATGCCTCTAAGTCTGAAGAAGACTTCAGAATGATCTCTAACTCTTTGTTTATCTTATAATAATTACTTATTTTACACTGGTGACAAAGTAAATCCAGTTTCGTACGAGTATTAGTTAAAACACGAAATAAAAGAATGGCATCCTAATTTGGTGGGTTTGATTGAATAAAGGGACAAATGTCAATGAAATAGGCCTATTTGAACCACTAATGTAAATTGTGTCTAGATGCATGTTTAGGCAAGATAACAAGATATCCGACTCACCAAAAGATGACACGTGTCATCCAAGTTACTTATTTTTTATATATATATATATATATATATATATATATATATATATATATAAGTGCCTAATCAAATTAGAACTAGATAGTTTGTGGTAACTGTGAGATTCAATGTAAATCAATCATTTATAGATAATTAATGTTTTTACTAAAATAAAATAAAGGGTATATTGGTAAATTTTCCAGTTCATAAAACTCTATATTGTTTCACCCTCCAAGACCTCACTATCTACTCCTTCAACGTCTCTGCCCCCATTCTCCGTTCCTCTAACTTTCAGGTCACCATCTTCTCCCATAACCCTAAGGCCATAAGGACCCCAATGTCTGGTCCTGTTTATTTACGGAACAAATGCCACGGTGGCACCGTACAATGGCATGTCATCGACTCAAGACAACTGGACGATGCCATCTCGCTATTGATCAAGCTGAACAGTCTAGTGAGAGGAGAGTCAGGAGGTTCATCTTTAGGTTGTACCATATCCATGTGATGTGTCCTTCCATTCAAGAACAAGCAGAATCCAAATCTCCATCTCGTTGGCCGATGTGCACCATTCTTGCTGGCCATTGGCCAAGAAGGAGCCGCTGTCAAATTAAGACCTTCAACGAATCCAGATCTCCATCGAAATCAAATCTGAAAACATCTCGAAGGTCTGCATCTCTTCATTTCCATTGAAATCAGGTATGAAAACATCTAGATATTGAAAAGGTGTGAATCTCTCCATCTCCATCGAAATTAGATCTGAAAACATCCCGATCAAAGAAAATTTCCTAAAAAAATCCAAATCTGAAAAATCGAAGATCCTACATGAAAGAAAATTTCCGATATCGAAGGTTTGTATCGTTTGTTTCTAGTAAAATCATTGGCTAGAAAATCAAAGGATTTGTGTTTTAAGGTTAGGTATCATAGTGGTATCACAATGGTATGTATGTATCTTTTGTATGTACCACAGTTGGTATCACAGTGGTTCACAATGTGGACCGTTTGTATGTATCTTTTTTTAACAGTCTTGAAGTTTAATTGGTGTATTTTGGGTATCATATAGTGTATCTTTTGTTTATTGGAGAGAGGAGAGATAAAAATTTTAAAATGCCTAAAATGCTCTTTAATTAAATTTTTTTAGTCAAATTACCAAAATTATTAGTTTTCTAATTTATCTATTGATTTGTGGTTGAGACTGAATCTCACAGCTATCACTAACTAACTAGTTCTCACTTGAATGAATCCCTATTCTAGAAATCTCTTTCATGTAGCTTGGCAAGGAAATTTTGAGTCATGGGTACAAGACCCTTTACATGTAAGACCTATTTGCGCTATCTCTCTCCACACACACACACATGACTACAGTCTCCCTCTCCCCCAAGAATTTCACCAGCGACACCATTCCCTTTTCTCCAGTACCCTTTATCCTCATCTTCTTTGAGCTCTTCCTCCTATACATCCCCTTCTCTAATTAATTACTCTCTCCGATCATTTTTTTTTTGTAAGGGTGTCCGGGCCAAAGCCCGACTAATCCCCGACAAATTTGGAGGCTAAACATGGCCCCACTTAAATGTCGCCAACACTCCCCTCCCAGGGCTCGAACTCGGGTTCATGACTATGCCATGCCCAAGCCTTTACCACTAGGCTGGAAGGTCTTTGATCATTGCCACCACATACCGTGAACTTTGTCAAAACCCCTTCCTAACTGTCTCCTACAACAAGCATCACCGACACCCATACACCATTCTCCTCTATATCACCTCCCCATGACCCCGTTCTTCTGCTCGAAGTGAAGTAAACACAACAATTTGTTGTTGTCCACAACATGAAGGAAACAAAATGGAATTCTATAAGGATCAAACCCGTTGTCGTCTCCAGATTAGCAACTGGACCTTGTCCCAACTTCAAGTTCAATTAACATTGAAAAGGGTTTTTTGTGGAAAAGTATTAACTTGCTTTCTAGCTATAACAACCATGGAAAATTAAGATTTACAGAGACAACCCATTCTTTCTTCTCTTTGCTTTTCTTCTGTTCGACTGAGACTCTTATACTAGAAGAGGTGTATACGAACAACCCATGAAGAAACACAAAATTCCACCTCAAAGCCCCATCTCATTTTTGACAAAATAGCTACTTTTTGACCAAAATCGAACCTATATGGTGCCATTGAAAATCCATAAAAGGAAAAGGCTATAATATGAAAGTATAACCAGATGGTGCCATTGAAAACCCAGAAAGAGAAAGGCTATAAGATGAAAAGTATAACTATATAATTAAGGAGATGTTAGAGAAAGTGAAGATGAATGCTTGGTAGAAGCCCAAAATTATGTTTAAGGGTGGCGTGAAATAATGGTGGGTGCAGTATAACGATTTAGGACTAACGAAAGCAAGGAAGGAAGGGGGAACATGTGGTCGAAGATGTATGATGGTAAGTGGCGTTTAATACGTTTATTTTTTAAAAAGAAATGAAAGAAAAATGTTAATGACCAAAAAAAACCCAATTTAACGAAGTTAGAGGAAGGACTTAACATCACAAAAGCGTAACCAAACCGACCATCATCGTAATTAATTCGCTTGGAGAATCTAATCCAACACTTTCATATAACTAGAGGGACTAAATCTGTAATTTAGTCTCCCTTCAGTAAAGAATATTTTTTTATGGTATATCTGGAAAAGAAACTTGAGTTCCAAGTGAAATAAGGGAAAGCCAAGTCGTTCTCTCGATTTATTTGTTGATATTTTATTTTATTTTTTATTATTTTATTCCAATTAATAATATCTTATTCTGGTAAAGCATCTCCTCCGGTTCGGATTTTGATTTAAGGTTATATACCTAAAAATCTCAAGTGGACTCACATCTTCCTTCTTCCTGCTGGATACAGCAATCCAATCATTGATTGATTCCCTCACATTCTTCTCATTAAGAAATCTCAGCACAAACTTTGTCAACCAAATCCCGTTTCAAATTACTATTTTGCTGAGAAGATCACCGCAACTGTCAGCATGGGTTGTTCTGGATCAACGAGTGCCAACGGGGACGGTATAGACTCCAATTTTCAGGATTTTATTGGGTTTTTTCTGTTGATTTTCTCAAACATGTTTTTTGTTTCTGTGGATATGATCGGTAATCGTGATATGGGTTTTACGTTATCCATTCCAATCGGTTTTGTAGCGTATCATGACGTGATTTTACTTGATGTTAAAAGGGAATGGTTTAATTTGATGTGATTGGTATTTGGGTGTTTTCCTTGGTGTTTATGTGTCTAACGAATGTGCTAAGTTTAGCTGCTGATCTACACGATTATTGTTTGGGATATTGGCTTGATTTAAGAGGGTTTCCATGAATTTCTTGTTAATCCTGTTGGTTTCTTGAAAAATTTAAAGCAAATGGTAATATTGCCAATGAAGATTCTGTCAAAGATACCAATATTGATGATGTTTTGGGTGTTTTAAGTTCAGTCTATTTTATGTAATGCTATGTAATGTAGAAGAGAAGGATGGGGAATGATTAATGAATATATCATATCATAAAGACTACTTTTGGCAAACTAGCTAATAAGCTAGTTGTTGATTAATAAGCTAGCTATTAGTTGAGAAGGTAGCCGATAAATTTATCATGTTTGGTCAAAGACCTTCCGGCCTAGTGGTAAAGACTTGGGCATGGCATGGTCATGAACCCAAGTTCGAGCCCTGGGAGGGGAGTGTTGGCGACATTTAAGTGGGGCCATGTTTAGCCTCCAAAATTGCCGGGGATTAGTCGGGCGTTGGCCCGGACACCTCTACAAATTTTTTTTTATCATGTTTGATAAGCTAGATGATGATGGAAAATAACCTAAAAAGACATGTTCAAAAATTAATTGGAATTTTATCAGGGACATAATTGGAAAAAGAAGCCACTGGAGAAACGCCATTTAGCGATTCAAAAAGATAGTTTATGGCCTACCAAATAGGACTTCTTCAATAAGCCAAAAAAGAAAGCTTATGGTAGCAGAAGATGGCCAAAGTACACAGTACTACTGAAATTTGGCATTAAACTATCACAAGCTTCATACTGTAAGGCACAAGGTACAGCTGACTGTTTTCAGTGACCATCCATAAACTCTATAATATATGTCTGAATTAGACATTTGGGTCTTCTGCACAATGTCATTGGGTTTAAACATGTTGTTAATATTAACCCAAAATCATGTTGATTCTACTCCAATTTCTGACAGGAGTCTATGCTGACTTTTCTAATTTAGGATTGATATGAACTATGTGTTCTTTTTGATGTATATAATCCTTATATACGACAAATATATGGACTGTGTTGGGGATTGACAAAATGTCAAGGGACCCATTGGTCAGGCGTTGAAAGATTCCAAATTAAGGGGTTCGTTTCAATAATTCTGACATGAATCTATGATTGAAGACTGACTAGAGATAGAAACTGCCAAGGAAAGCATCAATAACGTTAAGGAAATCCCGGAACTAGCCAAGGAGAATAAATAGTGGGAAATAGTCAATAACCAAGAGAAGCAAAGGAGCCCTACGAAGGTTAAATTGCAGCACCTGTAGATATAAGTGGGACAGGTGTAAACACTTGAATGCTTCACCGAACTCCAACTGCACATCCATAACTGAAACAAAGGGAGATAGTGGCAGCTGTAGGCGGGATGAAGAACCTCTGCTATAAATACCTGAGCATGCTACCAGTGTAAGGAATGAAGCATTGCACACCTCAAGTACATAGTAGGTTAACCAGAGTTACAATCCACCCTTTTAACTTTTTCCAATCCCACTTTTAGTTTTACAACTTTGCTTTTCCTAGGATTAAATCTAAAGGTTGGAGCTAAGTCCAAGCACTTGAAGTACTTAGATGTGCTTACTTTACACTCATGGCTGGATTCTTAAATAGGATTTTTGGAAGCCAGAATCCTTCACTTTGTAAGTACAGCCATGTGTTTTATAGCTGTATCTTATTATCAAAATAAAAGCACAAAAAGTAATTTGTGAGCAGTCGTGTTTGAAGTCCTTAGTTGCATATGTCCAAGGATCTGAAAACCAACTAGTTTGATAACTTATCTATGTTTGGGAAGGATCGACACCAGCGATTCATTTTAACCAAACTTTGGTGCAAAATTCAACCATAGGTGGCACCTGGATCCATATATTGATATGATCCCCTACCAACAACATGATGAATCTCCAAGACGTCTGTTTGACCTATCAATTTGGGGACAATATGATATCAAGAACTTAAGTGTGGTATTAAGATTTTCCAGAGCATTTTTTAAATGTAACTCATAAACTTAACATCCTTGTTACATGCAACGGAAATTGGGGGACCATAAAACCTAACAATGACATTAAAGAATGGCGAATAACTTTGCCAATGGGGAAGCATCACAACTTAACTACAAGGGATGAACGACTGATAAATCATTAACCGTGTATGTTCTTGGAAACCCTGAAAATTGCCATCCTTAATGTTCTTAGAAATCGTACCAAAGTTGTTGCATGCAGGGTGTTCACCATAACTTTCCAAATCTTATTACAACTTCTGCTTTCATGGTGTGGAGGATGGTAACAACCCTACATAAGTTGTCAGTAACCTTATTCTCTACCCTTTACAGTGTTTGAGTACGAAAAGTGTACTCTTGAATGTATTCAACCAATTTGGCATGCCTATGGCTTAACATTTTCTGGGAATTAAGGTATTGAAAGGGTTGACGATAGGAGCACAATATGAATTTCATAGGCACTAGATAATGATGCCAATACCTAAGGACTTGCACTATAGCATTAAATTCTTGATCATAGGTAAGGGTACTTACCATCCTGATTCTAGTTTTCTATAATAACAGCCAATGTGTGTCGTTATAGAGTAAGAACACCCCTTGGGATGTGGGGATGCCTACTCTAGACACATCACTTGGAATGCTTTGGTGACCGTTGACAAGTAATCCTATGTGGCGGATTTGGTAAGTATGAGAGTGCAAGAAGGTTGGCCTTTGTCTCTCTTTCTCTCTCTTGAGCTCTAAAAAGGCCTTAGCAAATGTCTTTGACCATATCAATTATCAATGATAAGGACAATGATGGTGTTAAACCCTCTGATGGACCTTCTGTAAAAGGTTGCAACCCCATGGAACTTCATGCTTCATGGAGGTTAAAAAGTTTTGGGACATTTTCTAATGGATCTAACTTCTTTTAGGTCCACTAAGAAATGATCGTTTGAAACCATAAATCCAAAGAATATGACCACCTTCGGGTATCACTTCTTCATGTTTGCATAAAGTTTCTCATGGCATAAGACTTCTAATACTTGACGTAGGTGTACCTCCCAAATCTTACTATAGATGAGAATGTCATTTAAGTAAACTACTACAAAATGGCCAATAGATGGCCTAAATACCAGATTCATAGACCTCATTAAGGTTTTGGGTGCATTGCTTAGGCCAAACGACATGTCTTACTCATAAAGGTTGTTTTCCACTCGCACCTCTCTTGGTGCAAATTTGATGATGTCCACTGCTTAGGTCAGTTTTTGAAAAATGAGCCTCAATCATCATATACAACATGTTTTCAAGCCGAGGTATAGGAAACATATACTTGATAGTAATTTTGTTAATAGCCTTGCTATCAAACACATTCTTAGACACCCATCTTGGTTAGGGTCGAATAAAGCTGTGACTACACAAGTACCCGTTTGGTTGTTTTTTCATTAAGTCTTGTGTGGATAATGCCATATGTGTGGATTAATTTGTTTGTATAGATTGAGAAGGTTTTTGTTTGGAAGGGTTTTTCCATAGATGGAAGGAGCGTATTTTTTTAGTTTAGAGAGGCAGGTTTGGAAAAAACATGTATTTCTACATAAAGCTCCCCCTATAAGCTTGCCGAATAAGTTGTAAGTCCCATTAAGCTCATTAAGTTGCTAACAAACATGGCCTAAGGGGCCATTTACCATACGCTTACTCGGGTAAGCGCTTACCTGTAAAATTCAACACTATCACTTACTTACCTAGTAAGATTTTAGTCCACCAAAATGACATCGTATGCAACAAGTTACCCGGTAAGCGCTAACCGTGGTAAGAGTCGTTGCCATCACTTATCGGGTAAGACTCTGTCCTTGCCTGTGCTCTTACCTGGTATGATTCTTGGTCCTTGTCATAACCAGTAAGGTAATGTCACTTGGTAAGCGTTTGGTACATGGACCCTAAGACCCTTCCAAATAAAGCCTTTAGACTACAACTCCTCTATTTTGTGTCACATCTCTAAGTAGTTTGTTGGGCTCATCCTATAATGTGATCAATTAGGTAATGAGGAGTGAGGACACAGGTACTGGATTGATGGCATGTTGCATGTTCTAAAGGGGTGGTAGGTTAGAGAACTTTTTGTTAGGATCTCATTAACACTTCATAGTATTCCCTCGCGCTCATAAAAGTTGCAGCAAAAAATCGTCTATTTTCCCATTGATGTCATTACAAATTATTAGTGGTTCACAAGATTCCTTATTTTGTCATTATTGAAACACAAGTTGCACATTTGACTAATAGTCAAACTATAAAGACTGTGTGATGAGTCATATGTTGGGAATTTCATAGGAAAAGGGAGTGTATCTTGAATTTTTCTAAATAAACCAAGTTCATATCAATTTTAAGATGAAAAAGTACTCTTAAAGTGGCTACTAACATTCAGTGTGTTATATTTTTATGGGATTAAGAGAATATATTTAAAGAAATTCTCATGTCCACCATCTGGAATTTGTTTCATATGGCAATCGGATGGGTTCTACCTAACGACTCACATTTCTCTATCCTCACATATCTAAGGCTGTATCTCTGTTTACATCCTAATCATTCAAGTTCTTTACTACCTTTACATGATGTTTCCTAGTTTATGATCCCTTATTTATACTATAACTTCTTTTCACTGGTAAAGATAAAGACTACTATTGAATATAAGCAGAAGCATCTTCTGCAATACTCCTTTTTTCCTGTCCAATTGAGGGCAACACCCCCTTCCCCGGGCGGTCCTGGGAATATATTAGAAGTTTGGTAT